GGGGGGGCAACGGCCCCCCTGCCTACGCCCTTGCAACCGGCAATTAAAATATAGTAGATATTAACATTTGAAAGGTGTTGCACAATTCAAACATATTCATAACATTTTGCTGAACATATATTTCTTGACAGCCTATTGGCTGGTTTGCTGAAGGTTTGCTTTTAATTTAAATTTAAAGTGCGTAGCAAATGAGGCAAGGGAAGGGAGTTGGTTTCATTAAACCATAACAATTATTTGAGGCCCATTCCCATTTTAGACACCACTTTCGATTGCACGAAACGATGACCATATTTAAAAGCATACCCCAAAATGTTGCCCACATACATACATAAATAAACACACACACGCACATACGGGCATACATACATACATACATACATATGTATATGAAAAAGACATTTTCGGAATTTAAAACAGGCCTGAATATTTGATTCCAATTTGAGTTGAGTTGCCATTTGCGTCGCTCATCAAAAAATTGAAACGCGTGCGGGGAAAAAAGTGACTCCATCGGCAATGAATGAAGCAATTCTGCAATTAAGAAGCGTATTAACAAAGTACTCGATTCATAAATTTGTCCAACTCAACTTTTATAATATGCATAATAAAAGTCAAGTTTAGGGTCGATTGGTTGAGAATACAGATTTTTCATACAAGCTTTAGTGCCCGTTTCCCCCACTTGGAGTTCGAAATTTCCAAAGCCTAGCTCGTTTGGGCTGTGCGTTGATCATTAATCAGTTCCTGAGTACAATTTTTTTATATACTCGTATTATATAATAAATAGTGAAAGGCAACTGAGAGGCCCATTTGAGGTTTTTTTGTGAAATCCTTTTGAATTCTCTGGGACACCACAACTGATAAAAAAAACAGACTTAATAGTCAAAATTTTTACAAGTCTATCAATCACATTATATTTTTGCTCCTTCTGAGCTAATACAAGCATGCCACAGCTAATGCAATATTCCCGAGGCTGGTATGGTCTTTTGTTCCTTCAGTGAATTACTTTTTATGGTCACAATTAGTTATTTGAGTTTCGGAAAGAGAAGGAAGTCAAATCTGGCGAATTTCGTGACCATGGTCAGACTGGAATGTGATCTTGAATTGGCGCCTCATATCCCAAACATCAACCAAAATGTGTTGAGTCGATCCATAAGAGACGTCTCTATAATGCCAACACGACGATTTTTCTTCACAATTGCCGGCACATTTCCGATATTATCGTCGTTAGCAAAGTTGGGTGGATGGACGACTTACATTTGGCAAGTTCTCTTCTTCTTTCCTTTCAAAACTGTTCTCCAACAATATTTTTCGTGATCTAATTTTTTCAATAGTAAAAATCGTCAGAGAAACTTATCAGATCGTAAACAAGTAGAATGCAAAAGAAGGTGTGTTTGTGTTTTTCGATGGTCGTCTCTAAGAAATTTGTCGGTCAAATTTAGATATAACGGCTGTGAATTAAGTCGGGAACTCAGATACTACCATGTCTATATTCCTTTGTGCTACAGAGAAATGTTTAGTTTAATTTTATTTCCATACTTATTTCCATTTTATTTGACAACATATTTAAGTTTACGTTAGTTTTGTGCTTTCTAGGACGCGTCTTAGGGAGTTCTTAGAAATATGTTATCGCAGGATTTGAGTCAGAGTAGTTGCAATATTTTAATGACTGGCAGTTAGTCATGCATATAGTAAATATACAAACGTATGTACATACTATACGTGAGATTATACTAAATAGTGCTTAAGTTAAAAGCTCTTAGGAATAAATACGATAAACGCAACACCCGCAGAATTGCGGCGTTCTGGAACACAGAACTGCGCAGTTTTGGGTATTCGTTGATGAAAATAACATTTTGCCAGAAATGCGAAATTGATGATAAAACAAATTTCATAAGCACGCGAAAATTGGTAATTTTTTTATAATTTATTAAACAAATATTTGTTTTTTCAGTGCCGCAGTCCATTCTGGTAAATACTATATCCATATACATTTATACATACATATGTACATATATGTAATAAGCTTAAACATTTTGATGTGTACGCCTAAATAAACGTGTTTAGTCGACTAAACGCAGATTGAAAAGATACTGCGAACAGTTTAATCACAATTGTCCGAGTCTATTAAGAAGCTATGACTTTTGTCCAATTTGCGCGCGCATTTGTACATAAGCAGTAGTATACTACAAGTATAATGTACATACAAGTATGTAGATTCGACGTGAAAGTAAATTGCCTCTGGCTATATACATACTTACGTATGTATGTACATACTTATGTACATAGTTCACACAAACCAGACTACAGATAGCGCCGGCAGCTGAACAGAAATGTTTCTTGTTCTCCGCACTTACGTCATAAACTTATCACAGCGGCATAAAAAGCTCAACCAACTCCTGAATGCCAATCACAAGTGTTCTAAATAGCGTTATATGTAATATTAATATACATACATACATATGTATGTATGTACAAGTATATCAAATATTCTTATTTCTGTCCAAACTTGTTTGACACTTACATGCGTACATATGTACATACATATGTGTGGAATTGAGCTCTTGAGGGTGACCTCAGAGCACCCACAACAAATCCGAAAGCACATACTTGTATACACCCCCCGCCATTACTATTAAAAAAACAAAACAATGTGTTTTAACCAATTTTATGAAACTTAAAACCTAAAATTTCCGAATTTTATGGGTCATATCTGCATTGCAACAACAAAAATGTAACTGCATGATTTTGTTTAAAATATTTGCAAATAACCAAACAGCCCAGTTACAGTGATGGAAAAAATAATAGAAACGACATTCCACTTTTCACTAAAAACTTCATTCGTTAATTTCTGGACAAGTTATAAGGGTTTCTTCTACTATCCACGATAATTGGTTAAAGGTACTTCATTGTGATTTCGGTTTAACCGGTATTTCGGCAAGGTAACCCCATTTTGGGTTGGAAGAAAAAGTAGAAACGCATATACTTATTGGGAAAATAGTGCATTGTAAACTTAAAAGGCAAACAAAAATTAAACTTATTTAGGTAATATTTTAACATTATAAGTAAAGGGTAAGCTCAAAATAAAAATTCCAGCACAATTTTCCTCTATGTACAAGGATATTGGTATAAGGCTAAAAATGGGTCGCGGATATCATTTCACAGCTACGAAAAGGGAAATCACACTTAAGCTCAAAAATAAAAGCAAACCAATGGCTGTAATTGCAATTTTATTGCATTGATAAAAAAAAGTGTTTTTTGCGGTTCATAAACAAGGTAGAAAGCTAGCCAAGTCTACAAAATTGTACAAACTTCTATTACGACAACCAAAAAAAAAATTAAAAAAAAAAAACGATTTTTGCATCAGGAAAGCAGTTAAATAACACCTGTTTCTAGTCGTACAATAATACTTGGAAATAGGCTAACAGATGCTGAAAGCACATTCTGCAAGAAAAGTACCATGTCTTATAAAAAAAAAAAAAAATCAGAGGTCGCATTACTTTTCCAAAAGGCATTTAGTGCGAGCAAATTGCAAGCCCGTGCTTTGATTACACGAGACTGTGCTAAGTTTGTTGGGATCTGATGGCAAGACGCCCCCAAAATCGGGCTCACGATCCGGAATACACTATAAAAACTATTAACTGGAAGTGTCAACATAATGCTATGGGGATGTTTTCATCGTTTGGGTGTTGGTCCAATATTTTAGGTTAAGGACGAAATCTGCGCTGTGGATTACGTTAATATACTTAACAGCATAATGCTTCCATATTCAGAGGAAGAAATGCCGGTAATGTGGAAGTTTTTTCAAGATAATGGACCCTAAACACACTTCAGTTTGCAGTTTGCAAAAGCAAGGTTTCATGAAATCGAAGGTTCTTTGATGGAACGGATTTCACAATGATCCGACCTAAGTGCCATAGAGGCACCTATGGGGGATATAAATAAAGAATATGTTTGGGCTTAAGTGCAAAAACATAGACGATTTATGTGCAGACCGTACGGCATGCCATTGATCCCCCAACATTTGGTCCATACCGGCGGAATCTATGGGTCGTCCAGGCGCAGAAGCTTTCAAAAATGATGGTGACCTTATTAAATATTAGTAATAACCCGACATTTTTTACATGGTTTATGTCTTGGAATTAAACAATTTTTTTTGTTTAGCTTAAACTATATCGTTTCTATTTTTTTTCTCCAACCCAAAAGGAAAAAAATACGTTATTTCGCAATTTAAATTTTCAAAAAGCTTTTCTTTGTTGCTGCTTTGGTTCAACTTTGTGCTGCATACATACACGCATATAAACACGCATAGACACGATGATGTAAATGTATGCTGTTAAAACTGTACATAAACATGTCTTCTGTGTATGTATTAAATAAATTTTATTTATTAATTTAATTAATTAAGAGTACAGGCTATTTTACTGTCGGGCTTACTCGACTGTAGCGTTCTCTCTTGTTTAAAATTTAAACATGTAATCTGATAAATATTAAGTACAAATAATTACATTCTGAAAGAACAATATAGTATGGGAGAAAATTCGAATAAACGAAGAAAATGTTGTCGTTTCTATTATTGTTTCCACCACTGTATATTGAAGGGTTTTTTGAAATTGTCCCCCAATATGCGTTAACTTTTAAACAGTCACATCACTACGAAACAGTGGCGCCATCTCTTGGTGAACACTGCAACACACACGCTCAACTGTTGAGCAACAGCTACCACGGCCAATGTGACCACATCAAAAACCGAAACAAGTGTTTTATTCAAATTTACATTTAAATTTGCGTTCCTTTAGAGCAAAGCTTCTTTCATTTGATATTCGCAAATAATTGTGTGCGTAATATATTTGCTAACTAAATTAATCGATGGGTAGTACTTGTCAGTTGCCTGGTTAGCTCAGCTCTCTAATTTATTTGCTTTCTAATTGACAGTCTGAAAATCGACGCCTGTCGTGCAGCTTGAAATATTGAAGCATTATTGGAATCGATTGAATACTTTCAAAATGCTTTTAGAGCCTATGGAACAAGAAACGCGTAAGCTGCAAAAAATATACATACATATATATATATATTGTAGTGCTTGTTTTAGCTATGTTTATGTATGGATATTAAAACAGTTTATTTAATGGGCGTGACACGAGAACGCCAAATGGCAAACGGCAAATTGCAAATGAACTTGTTTTAATATGGATTTATCATTCCGTTTCCTCAGTACACAACCCAAACGATCCACGCGAAGTTGAATACATACAGTTCGGTATATTGTCGCCGGAGGAAGTTAAACTGAATTCCGTAACGCCCGGTGGCATCAATTCGCGCACAATTTTAGAAAATAATGTGCCTTTGTATGGCGGTCTTATGGATCCGCGCCAGGGGCCTATCGATCGCAATGCTCATTGCGGTTCGTGCTCGAATGGAATAACAGAGTGTCCCGGACACTTCGGCCACATCGAGTTAGCTCAGCCGATCTACCACACCGGATTCCTACAGAATGTAGTAAAAGTTCTGCGCTGTGTGTGCTTTTATTGCTCTCAGCTTCTGGTGAACCGGGACTCGGATAAGGTGCTGGCCATACAGGACAAGTTTGGACATAATCCGCGCAAGCGATTATCTGAAATGCACAGCATTTGTCATGCCGTCAAATACTGTCCCAACGACTTGAAGGAGAACCGCAAGAATCCACTCAGTCTGCCGCGATTTAAGAGGAAAAAGAGGCTCGAAGACGAAGGCTCTACCGTTTGTTACGGTCCTTGTGGGCCCCTGAATGCAGACCTTTCAGCAGTCGATGTGGAGCCGGAGACACGCTGTGGCCGCCGACAGCCGAACATAACGCGCAAGGGTCTGGATGTGCACGTAGCGATGCAGGGCATGGTGGCGGGCGTACCGCCCGAAGTTATTGTCGTAACACCGTACCAACTGCGTCAGATATTGATGGGAATCTCTGACAGCGATTGCGAGCTGCTGGGCTTGAATCCGCATTTCGCTCGACCCGAATGGATGATCTTAACAATGCTGCCGGTAATGCCACCGCCAGTCCGTCCGGCCGTCCATATTGCCGGACGTGGTCCGCTGGATCGCAGCCACGACGATCTCACCCACAAGCTGGGCGACATAGTTGTGGCAAACAATGCCGTCAAGCAACTCATTCTGCGCGGCAGTCCCGACCACGAGGTCCAGGAGGCCGTCAAGATGCTGCAATACCACGTCGCCACAATGATGGACAATGATCTGCAACAGCTGCCGCAGGCCTTGCAGAAGAGCGGACGTCCCATTAAGAGCTTGAAGGATCGGCTCAAGGGCAAGGAAGGGCGGCTGCGTGGCAACCTCATGGGCAAGCGTGTCGACTTCTCGGGACGTACTGTTATCACACCCGATCCCAATCTGGGCATTAACGAGGTCGGCGTACCAAAATCGGTGGCGAAAATTCTAACCTTTCCCGAAATTGTCGCGCCATATAATTTTGATGTAAGTTATGAAAAACTATTCGTAAGCGAGGAAGTTTCCGTGGGTTTGGCTTTTCTTGTTCTTGGATATTAATAGAGTACATATTGATATATATGCGCCGATTTAAGTGAAAATTGATAAAAAATGTGGCATTATTTAAAACCCAATAATTTGAAATCTTATTAAATATATAGTGTTCGGCTCAATACATTATATATGGTACAGATTTGAATGAAAGTTTAGAATACTGCGGGGCATTATTAAAAACTCCTAACTACCCCATTTGTTCAGATCGTTCCTATGACAGCTATATGATAAAGTGAACCGATTTTGACTTCAAAATATCATAATTATTGCTTCAGAGATCTTCACAAACATACCAGTTATCCAACTAAGAGAGATTTCTGCACCTATTGTTCCTATGGCAGCTATATAAAATAATGCGTCAATATATAAATTTTAATAAACTTTGCCTGCGTATCAAATAGATTAGTCTAGAGCCAAGTTCGGTGTCCATAGCTGTTGTGCCTTAAAAGTTATCAACAGTATGTACCCAAAACATGGGGTTTACCATGCCTTCTGCTGCCTATTATAGACGTTCAACTTTCTAGTATAGTCCGTAAATTATATTTTGTATTTAAAGACGTCTTTAGGTTAAGGTCTTTTAATTTTTACAGCGCCTACAAGCCTTGGTGACACGCGGCGACAACTATCCTGGTGCGCGGGCTGTTATTCGGAATGACGGCATGCGTGTCGACCTTTATAGCCGACTGGCCAATGCTGGGGTTAAGCTAGAGCTGGGCATGAAGGTTGAGAGGCATTTGACAGACCACGACATTGTCGTCTTCAATCGCCAACCCACACTACACAAAATGTCAATGATGGGTCATCGCGTGAGGATATTGCCCTTTTCCACCTTCCGCATGAATCTGTCGTGCACCTCGCCCTACAATGCCGATTTCGATGGCGACGAAATGAATTTGCATGTTCCGCAAAGCCCCGAAGTGTGCGCTGAGATCGATCAATTGGAGCTCGTGTCTCGGCAAGCGATTACGCCGCAGTCGAGTCGGCCTGTGATGGGCATTGTGCAGGACTCGTTGCTGGGTGTCTGTCGGATGACGCGACGGGACACGTTTGTGAATATTCAACGGTTTATGCATCTGATGATGCAGATGCCCTTCTTTGGGGGATTGCTGAAGCGGCCATGCATTCTGAAGCCGGTGGAGCTGTGGAGTGGGAAGCAAATCTTCTCGCAGATTATTCCGGGCCAACTGAATATGATGCGCACCCATTCAACGCATCCGGACGAGGAGGACGACAGCGAACATCATTACATGTCGGTCGGGGATACGCGGGTGAGTGATTCGAAATAATCGCAAAGTAATGGGGACCATTTCATCAATGATTCGGTTTACAGGTGATTGTGGAAAATAGCGTCCTGCTAATGGGTATACTCTGTAAACGAACTTTGGGCGCCTCAATGGGCTCGTTGGTTCACATTGTTGTTAGGGAGCTGGGCCACGAGGTCGCTGCCGAGTTCTACACCACCATTCAGAAGGTGGTTAATGCCTGGTTGGAGGTTGATGGTCACAGCATAGGCATAGCCGATTGTATAGCCGATATAGAAACCTACTCCCACATCGAGGACAACATAGAGAGCGCAAAGAAACGGGTGCTTTCGGTAATTGCAGAGGCCAAGATAATATCCAATAGCTGCACCACCCTGAACGAGACGTTCGAGAATAGAGTCAACCAGCTGCTAAACGAGGCACGCGACAGTACCGGTAATTTGGCGAAGCGTTCGCTTAAGGTGAACAACAATCTGAAGAGCATGGTGATTGCCGGCTCCAAGGGCAGCAACATAAACGTATCTCAGGTGATAGCGTGTGTCGGCCAGCAGAACGTGGAGGGAAAACGAATACCGTGGGGCTTCAAGCGGCGCACTCTACCACATTTCCACAAGGGGGACTTCGAGCCGGAGTCCCGTGGTTTTGTTGAGAACTCTTATCTTACTGGTCTGACACCGGCAGAGTTCTACTTCCATGCGATGGGTGGACGAGAGGGTCTGATTGATACCGCAGTTAAAACCGCCGAGACGGGCTATATACAGCGACGCCTAATTAAGGCTATGGAATCAACAATGGTGCAGTACGATGGCACCGTACGCGACAGCGGTGGCAACATCATTCAGTTCTGTTATGGCGAGGATGGACTCTGCGGCGAGGCGGTTGAGTTCCAACAGTTGCCCACTCAAAAAATATCAGACGAATCAATGACAAAACAATTCAAGATGGATCTATCAGTGCGTCCGAAATTGTTTAAAGTATTCACCGAGGAAACCGTTCAGGAAATCGATCGCAATATCACGACTACCAACAAATATCTAGAAGACGAGTGGACCCAATTGTGCAACGATCGCAAACTGCTACGCGAAATCTTTCCACTCGGAGATTCGAGAGTCGCTATGCCCTGCAATTTGCAGCGCCTGATCGCCAATGTCCAGAAGACCTTCAAGATAAGTCCGCAATCGCAGTCCACACTGCTACCAGTGTATGCGATCGAACGACTTAAGGAGTTCATTGATACCCTCGTTGTTATACCCGGAAAGGGGCAACTCGCCCGAAACACCAACACCAATGCCACCCTGCTGTTTCAATGTTTGTTACGCTCCGCGCTCTGCGCTCGTATGGCCACGGAACGGTACCGCTTCACATCCGAGGCCTTCGACACACTCCTGGCACAAATTCGCATTAACTTCGAGCACGCACAGGTTTATCCCGGCGAAATGGTGGGCGCTCTAGCAGCCCAATGCATTGGCGAACCCGCTACTCAAATGACGCTCAACACCTTTCACTTTGCGGGCGTCTCGGCCAAAAATGTAACACTGGGTGTGCCTCGTCTTAAGGAGATCTTGAATGTTTCGAAATGTCCCCGTTCGCCGTCCATGACAATGTTTTTGGTCGGCGAAGCAGCAAAGAACGGACACCTAGCCAGGGATGTGATTTCCCGATTCGAGCACACAAAACTGAATGATGTTACAAGCAGTACGCGTCTCATCTACGATCCAGACCCAAGGAGGTCTGTGATCGCAGAGGACAACGAATTTCTCGACTGTTACTACGAACTGGATGATGAAGATGATGGTAAGTGGGGAATGGAAATAAAGTTAACTTTTTACAATTGTAATTACAATTTTCTCGATTAACAGTAATCTTTCGATTAAGGTGGCACTAATCCGTTCGTATGTTCGGATCGATAGATCTTTTGTAGAAATACTTTTATTGAGCAATAAGAAGAGCATTTTACTTAAAATAGTACAGCGTAGGATCTAAGAAATTTGATTTCCAATTGACATTTTGGAGAAATAAAGACGCAGCAATGACTTTTCATTTAGACTGCCGCTTAACTAAAGCAGTCTTTTATCCATAAAATTAAATGTTAAAGTTTTCTAGCTGTATTTTCAATATATCTTTGCTATTTTTTCTGCAGAGCACGTTTATAACAACCATATTTGTATACAGCTCATTATATTATATGCATATGTATGTATCTGCTGTAGAACCGAAGGGTGGAGTTGCTTTTGTATTTTTAAAGATCTCTTAAGAGATAATCTGAAGTTAAGCAGTAACTAAGCATGGAAATAGAACAGCGGACCAATGGCAGTATTAATAGTATGTCGAGATTATACCTATGCCCTAGTTTCTTGCTTGAGTATGCCAGTATAGCGCTTTTGTGCAACAATTCAATGATATTACTTCCCGTTCCCTTCCAGATAAATGCTCCCCCTGGGTATTGCGATTGTCCATGAACCGCAAACGTATGACAGACTCTGGGTTGCACATGGAATACATTGCGGAGCGCATCCATGAAACCTTCGGCGAGGATTTGCGCTGTATTTTCAGCGACGATAATGTGGAGCAGCCGGTGATACGACTTTGTACCACGAAGGTGTCACCCACTCCGGGTGAATATCTAAATGAAATGGAAGATTTCAATGATCCGGACCGACGCATCGAGGATCACACCTTTATACGGTCCCTGGAGGCCACAGTGCTGCAAGATATGTCATTGCATGGTGTACCGGAAATCAGAAAGGTTTATCTGCATCTCCCGATAGTGTCGAGCAAGAAACGCGTTTTCATCAACGAGCGCGGCGAATTCCAAGAGGTCTCCGAATGGATACTAGAGACGGAGGGTACAGCCCTCAGCTATGCCTTGAGTGATATCAGCATTTGCCGACGTCGGACCTGCACCAATGACATAAACGAAGTTAATGCTGTGCTGGGCATTGAAGCAGTGCGAAAATCCATCGAGAAAGAGATCAACAATGTGCTACAGTTCTATGGCCTGTATGTCAACTATCGGCACCTGGCGTTGTTGTGCGATGTGATGACGGCTCGCGGTCATTTGATGGCCATTACGCGTCACGGCATCAATCGACAACAGACGGGTACATTGATGCGCGCCTCTTTTGAGGAGACATTTAATGTGCTTCTGGATGCGGCCACCCATGGAGAGCGCGATAACTTGGTTGGTGTATCGGAGAAATTAGTTGTGGGCCAATTTATACCGTATGGAACCGGATGTTTTGACTTGCTCACCGACGTGGGAAAATGTAGGGAGTCGGTGAAGTCCTTTAACAAGCTGTTGCAGAGCGCTTGCGCGGCCAATGCCTGCAAACCACCACCGAATTGGCAGCCTCCAAGCCATGGAACTCCCGATTCACCATTGAGTACGCCGATCGAATGCTACTCACCGGATCCCGTGGTAAGCGGCTCGTTCTCTCCCGAGATATTCGTATCCCCGCTTTACAAATCACCCAAGTACGAGCCCGCATCGTCCGTCACGTCGGCTAGTAAATACGCAGACGATTTGGGCTACCCGAACGCCACATTACCCATGTACCGGCCCGAAACAACCTACACCACGGGCATGCCTATGTATAGTCCGGACTCACCGACATACTACGCTTTCACACCAATCTACAGTCCTGCTGCATCCGCCTACAAGTCGAGCACGCCGTTTTATAACCCCAAAACCCCGCAATATGTTCGGCAAACGCCGATGTACTCGCCAACGGTGCCGACTCTGTCACCGGCCTCGCCAGAATACTCTTCGGTACCCACAGTACCGTTATACACGCCACAAACTCCAGTCTATGTGCCAAGCTCTTCAGCACTGTATTCGCCAATGTCACAGGGGTATTTACCAGTGAAGCCAACTTACGAGCCAGCTAAGCCGAAGTTCATACCGAAATCGGACAGTTTGTACGCCACAAAATCCCATTTACTGCCGCAGTACTCGCCCACTTCGCCTACAATGGTAAACCTATCTACTCTGCTTACACCCGACTCGCCCATTAGTTACACGCCGAGCTCGCCACAAACCAAAATTGGCTACTCGCCCAGCTCGCCGGATTCGAACACTGGCTATTCGCCCACATCGCCGACATCGGTTATGGGCTACTCGCCCACATCGCCGCCTTCGAATATCAGTTATTCGCCTACTTCGCCATCTTCTGCCATTGGCTATTCGCCCACTTCGCCGACATCGAACATGACCTACTCGCCGGCCTCACCACCGCTGAATATTAGCTACTCGCCCACATCGCCACCTTCGATCAATAGCTATTCGACCCTTTCGGCACCTTTAAAGATTGGGTATTCGCCCTCCTCGCCAACGGCAAACATCAGCTACTCGCCCACTTCGCCGAGTCCTAACCTCAGCTACTCGCCCAACCCTCCCTCGAAAATTGGCTACTCGCCCACTTCGCCAAATGTTGTCGTCGGCTACTCTCCCACCTCGCCAGATTCAAATATCGGCTACTCGCCCACCTCGCCGGAATCAAGCACCAACTACTCGCCCATTTCTGTCAGCTCGAAAACAGGCTATTCGCCCGTCTCGCCAAATGCTAGCTACTCGCCAAGCATGCCATTAAGTTACTTGCCAATCGCTCCAAGCCCAGCTTCCATAGCGCCCAGTTATCAGGCAGTAAGTCCGACTTTAGACACTTGCTATTCGCCGTCATCGCCCACCACATCGATAAATGTCGGCTACTCGCCCAATATGTCCGCCTATGAGCCTTCAGTGGTGAAAGCGTATCAAGCAAACGAGAAGGAACTATCCACGAAGCCAACCTTCGAGCGCGCTTATATACCAGCGATATCAAATATCTTCACGAGCCGGTATTTAACCAGCAGCCCGGCCTACTCGCCCACCACGCCCAGCTATATACAACAGAGTCCAGCTACAAAAAGTGATTCCCCAATGTATTTTCCACCTGCCAGTAATTTGGGCGGCTATTCCCCCTCATCTCCCAGCATGCATCCGATATTCGAAAGCCTCAACAAGAGAGTAAACTCCATCCTAAAGCCAAAGTATAGCAGCACCCCAACTGAACCTAAAAACAAGGCCGAATACAGTCCGGCCAGTCCGGCTTTTAGTCAATTCTCATTGAGCACGAGAAGCACAATGTACAGCCCTCAAAGCCCCACTACCTTTAGCCCCATGTCGCCCCCTTTGCCTGGCAAGGATGTCGAGTACAGTCCGGCGAGTCCCGCGTTCAGCGATTTTTCGGTGAGCACTCCAAATTAGAAATATTGGTACCCTTCACCCATCACCCATCAAAACTTTCCAAAAGACGTCCAAGGGTGCGACTTTTAAATAAAAACAAACAAAAGCCAATGAAAAATATGAATTCTATCTGTTAACCGACATCTTTCCCACGCCACGAATCACAAAATTAATAATTAATAAAGTAAAAAAAAAATTGAATTAATAATAAGCCGATTACAAAAAAATAAACTCGTCTAATTTTCGGGGATATTATAGATATAAATTTAATCAAAAAATAAACACAAACTGAAAACTACAAGTAGAATTTAAAAACACACAACTACAATTTCACAAAATGAAATAACTTGAATGATAAAGAAGAGTCTTAAATAACTGGATAGAGTGGCTAATAAGAGCCAAGAAATTCCAAGTTACATTCGAAATCGAAACTAGGCCTATTTCAGAAATAAATGACATGTATTACTGAATTTTTCCTAACATTTTTGAAAATAAAGGGCAGACTGTCGTTGTTTTAATGAAAGTGTTTGCCAACAATGTTGTTGGATTCTTTGTTTCATTCTACTTGTAGTATTTTTGTTGAATTATTTTAAATGTGCAATGGTTTAATAGTAGTAGTTGCTTAAATTTCAAAGAGCTGGCTGCTCTGATTCCAAAGATTGCGTAATGCGGGTCAAGCTGCCCGAAAAAGGCAAAGCCTGTGATTGCCAAGAGGAGGGCCCCGAAAAAATGGACCAACCCAGTTAGCCATCGATCGCAGCTCTCGGGCGGTTAGTTGGCTGGCTGAGATAACCAATTTTTGGTTACGAAATCGCTGCTCGCTCCTCGTTTCGTCTTCCACACACTTTGCGATGCTAATGATAATTTCAAACTGTCATAAATTATAGTATACTTGTATATTATGCACAGAGCGGGGACGGGCGGGGGAAGGGAGATGTCCTTTTTACAATTCGCTCCTTTTGTTTCTGTCCCTCCTTGCTGCTGCACACAAGAACAAATAAATGTTTTATGCATTTGCATAAGTTGCTGCATATCGTGTGAAGCAACCACAACAACAACAGAATATAATTTCATCCATCTAGGACCCGGAGAATACAAGTAGGTAAAAATTCCAGGTCTGGCCACGGTCTCCAAATAACAAAGACAAAGTTGGCGCTTGTGTTCCTCTCCTTTTTTTTGTTTTTTGTTTTTTGTTTGTTTTATTTGTTGTTGCTTTTGGTCGCGTTTCTGGCAACCGCAATATTGTAAATCCTCGTTTTAAAAACACATACACTCAGAAAAAAGTGGCCCCGAAAACGCTTAAAATATGATCTTTTTGGGAAGGACAGTTCCTTTCAGCGAATACGAGTTTTTCTTTAAAACTAGCAACATACCCCATTAGTCATGCATAGAAAATAGTATTAAGTTTATAGTTTTAAGTTTAAAATATTTTTGGTACGTTCTTTGTATTTCTGCTCTGAATAGAAATGTTGACTTATCGACGCCCCTATCGACACTAGTAATTGCGATTTTTATACCCTGTACCCGTAGGGTAAAAAGGGTATATTAGGTTTGTGCAAAGTATGTAACATGCAGAAGGAAGCATCTCCGACCCCATAAAGTATATATATTCTGAATCAGCATGACGAGAGAAATCGATCCAGACATGTCCGTCCGTCCGTCCGTCTGTCCGTCTGTCCGTCTGTCCGTCTGGATGAACGCGAGGATCTCAGAAACTATAAAAGCTAGAATAACCAAAGTTGGCATCCAGATTCTCCTAGGTCCGAGAAAGGACGAGTTTATTTTATTTTTTGGAATTTTCCCCCCCTTCCCCCGCTACAGAATTTCGTCAATAGCGTCCACATTTCAAATGCTACCTAAACCAAACTTTGCACACATAATTTATATATAATTGTCTACTTATCTTAATGTACTTTTAACTTGGTTTGATGAAGGTTTCTTATTTTCAAACAAGAGAGAACGCTACAGTCGAGCAAGCCCGACAGTGTAATACCCTGTACCCAGGTAAACTTCCGTCACTGAGTTATATGCGCCCATAGCAGCAGCAAAAAGAGGAAGAAGAAGAGTGAGCTTGTTGCTGCAGTTTGGGGGTTGTACTGGCGAGAATTTGTTTTGCTAATAACTTTTCTTAGAATTGACCGAATTGAATAAAATTTTATACAACAGTAGACAATTTTATATTAATTATGTGTGCAAAGTTTGGTTTAGGTAGCATTTGAAATGTGGACGCTATTGACGAACTTCTGTAGCGGGGGAAGGGGGGGAAAATTAAAAAAAAAAACATAAACTCGTCCTTACTCGGACCTAGGAGAATCTGGATGCCAACTTTGGTTATTCTAGCTTTTATAGTTTCTGAGATCCTCGCGTTCATCCAGACGGACGGACAGACGGACGGACGGACATGTCTAGATCGATTTCTCTCGTCATGCTGATCAAGAATATATATACTTTATGGGGTCGGAGATGCTTCCTTCTGTATGTTACATACTTTGCACAAACCTAATATACCCTTTTTACCCTACGGGTACAGGGTATAAAAATGAACATGGTATTAATATTGAATATACAGTCTCTCAAAAAGGGAAGTTAGAGGCAACTCGCAAGATAAATACATATATTTTTGGCCTCGTCATTCTCTTTTCATAAAGCAATAGTTTCTGGGTTTCAGGGAATTATAATTCAACGTACTTGTAGTAACGAAAATGGTTCTGAATGTATTTGTAAAACATAATAATGCATTTTTGGTCTCAGAGCAAAAACTCTGGGTTACAGGACAACAATTTCGGACATTTTTTGTTTATAAATTCAACGGATCTAAACCAGAAAACTAGACAAATTTGTTTGTTTGCCGGTTTTTCAAATTTAAGGAAAAGTTAGGCACATTTTTTGCTTCTAGACCGATTTGATTTAAAATTGAGGCAACAATACTTGTGTGTACACATTTTTGAATGCCCTAAATGTAATAAAAAATATTTTTAAAACTTGCACAACAATTTCTGTGAGTGTATTTACTATATAAATGTGTGGACTCCTGGTGGACTCCTTGTAAAGCGGCCCCGCCACCTGCCCCCTGTCTGGCGCCATAAAAGCGAAAGCTGCCATATCTGACATGGTTGGGGACTGAGGCTTCTGTGTCAGCGCATTGCAGACGCTTTCTCTCCGCTTTCTTTCTCCCTTTCCCTGCACCTCTTCACCAGTGCCTGCCTCCTCACCGCCTCCCTACTTCCTCTGTCAGTGTCCGTCAGCATCCACCACGTCTCGGCGATTTTGCTTTTGATGTTGTCAACGTTGTTTGTCCCAACCTACCCCTATCCCCCAAAACCTGCCACCCAACCACAACCCCAATCCCAGTCCCAATCCCAACCTCAACACCAAACCAAACCGCATTCTAAGCTTTATTGTCGCCGCTCCACACTCGTCGTTCGTTTTTCGTTGCTCGTGGCTCGTGGCTCGTTGCTCGACTCGTTGGCTTGCTGTTGTTGTTTTTAGCCAAAAGTCTGTCAGCGAAATTAATAGTGAAATCCATTTTCCATTTGGCACGGCAAACTGCTGTTCCTTTCCCTGGCCCTTGCCAGCCCCTGCGGCGACCGCAGCAAAGAAAAGTCCGCGCCACTCTAAGCGGCGTCAGTTGCATTGCCTAGATATGTCCTAGTCCTCTATTCCTGCACACACACACACACACACACACACACACACACACACACACACACTCGTATATGCATGTGTATGCATGCACATGCATGCATATACTCGTAAATAGTGTGTCGTTTTACCTGTTTGATTTCAAATGTTGTCCCACTTTCGGGGCACACTAATTTGATATGAAACGGATATATCCGATATAACAGCTCGCAGCCGTAATCATAATCGCGATGCGGCCATTACCAAAGCGCCATCGAAATGTACTCACGGAATTGTTGCCCCAAAACTCTCTGGTTATGCAGCTGCGGACTTTCGCTCCATAAGCAATGCATTAACTGTACTGCCACTGTCACGTGATAGTTTTAATGGCGCAGGATAAGATACTATCAAAGTTTACTCGTATTGTTCAATTTTTAATTTTGTAGAGCTTCTTACTATAATTTTCAATAATCTTAACGTTACTGATATCCTAAAAACGAACCAAAAATGTCTTATCTTAATCACACCAATACTATGATTCCTACACACTATACACGCAGGCGACTATACAACGGATACAATTATCCCCTGGCTATTCTTAAGAATCATTCTCACTTTATTTAGTTAGCTCTTTAATAGCGTCCCAAAGCTATTATGCACCAACCTGCGTATAACTATTGGGGGGGTTATATATCTTGTTGGAATGTTCACATTAATAGCACTTTCCCATTAAATTACTATGCAATAGTAGTCCCACACCTCCATAACGGCAACCATTATTCTATTCCATTAAAGTACTTATAAATCCATTTGATTGTATAACATTTTCATTATTCATGTCAAGTCGACAAAATTAGAGTCTTGTTCTATTTCTTAAAACAATGTAACGCAATTTTCCAGCAAGCTTCGACCATAAGTCGTTTAGCAGAGTTTGGGTGGCAACTCTGGCAAGTACCGTTAAGTTGCCATGGCTTGCCATTCAATCTGCGATCATAAGTAATTATTTGGCTGGCTGCTGCACATATCGAACAATTGCAATCTAGGCTAAAAAGGACGACGCGCAACAAGGATGAGTAAAGACTTAAAGGCGTGATCATTCACGTGTAAATTCAATTATCAAAATTTCCAATGCCAGCCGGCAGTCCGACGTCCGACATGTTGGACGGACAAGGCAAGGCATTACACGGCAAGGCAAGCCGAGGCAGACAGGACACCACAAACAGCAGCCAGCAGCAGTCAGTCGAATGACCACTGGCCAGAGTACTGTATCCTCGCTGCGTGTGTGTCTGTGTACATTGGAGAGAGTGTGTGTTCGCCCATGTGGTGATTTATATTTATTTCGAACAACAATTTTGCCTGCAGTTTGGCGTTGGCGTTGAATTTCCACCGCCTGCTGCTCT